GATTTATTATATACAATAACTAAGTATGTTTCCTTTATGGAAAAGTCCTACAGAACTTAATAGAGATGAAATCAGTAGGTTTCTACAGAAACAATTCTCAAAACTCTATAGAGATTTATAGAAGATGATATTCCTTCTAAAGACTTGTTTAACCATACTTCAGAATTCTATAGCAGGGATATTAGTCTCTTAAATTCTGTACTATGGTGAGAAAAAACTGCTGATCATTTTCAGTTAATATCTGTAGCTCTTTTTCCATAAGAATTAATTATTCAGAGTGAAATCCTCTGAGTAAAATAACTTTTACAGAAGAGCGATCCAAAAGTTACCAGTAGTAGGGAGCTAGATTTGTTTTAAGCCGTTGCCTTTATATATGGCTCACAAATTGTAAAGGCTGATATGATATATATAAAAATTAAAATGACAACATTTACTTGTGTTGCAAAGAAAATATAGCAGTTTTGTAGTGTTTTTGGTATGATTTTCATTGCAGGGTTTCTATTTGAAAGTTTATAAAATTAGACACGGTTCTAAAACATATTTAGGCTTGGAAGGATTCAATTTTTATTGGTAAATGTCAATTTCACCATGTGCACACAAACCAACAAAAATATTACCTTTGATGATAATCATAATTTACACATAGGCAAAGAAAGAAAAATGCTGCTTGAGAACTTAGAGATTGATTTAAGGATATTTACTTTGTATATTTTGATGTGTGATGTTGATAATTTTGTGTTTTAATGGTTATAAAGCTTTAACTTTTTGAATCTCATTAAATAATTATTGGCTGATCCGCAGTTATCTGACACCCCCATTAATTGCCACAACTGAGAAAATTTAAATTGATAAAAATAGGAAAAAATGTTTAAACCCATAATTTTTGCACAACTGTGAAAATTTAAATAAATAAAAATTGGAAAAATGCTAAAAAACCATCAATTTTATCTGTTAAAATTATTTTTAAAAATCGAATCCCTGCAACCGTAGACATACTAGACTGCATGCCTAATTGTGAACACTGTATCATTCATTCTGTTAGATCAGTTTGTTACCTGACAAAATTTGTTACTCAAATATTTGCAACCACAGCATGAGTTTTTTTTTGTTCCACTGCGTTTCTCAATAACTCAAAGTTGAGGTTCTTGTATAATTCTTAAGCCTAGAATTTTAATACATTAGTTTCACTTCTTTAAGTCTGTTCAGTACTAAGATCTCTTAATGCTTAACAAACATTAGGTCTCCCACCTCCTTCCTAATACTCCTGTGATTGAGGAAAGTAGCAGTATTATCCCCAATTTATAGATGGCAAAACTAAGGTGTAGAGAAACATAAATTCCTAAAGTCATACAAATCATTAGATAATTTGGGAATAGAATTGAGATCTTCTAACTCCCAGTTTCTTCTTATAATCACTAGGAAATGCTTCTTCATTATAAAACATTGCCAACAAGTTTTTTACGTACAGCACACAATTTTCTAAGGGCGATTGTGGAGAGAGGAGGTGGAGAAGAAGAAAGGTTCGCTTGTGATAAAGTGGAAAGCCTAACATCCAAATGAGAGGGAAAAAATTAATACTGCTCTCTGTGTCAGTGTAAATGGTGGCTGCATTGTATGGTATTGTTGTCCACTCTTCTGAGCAGATGGAATTTGCAGTTGTGTGTCACTTGTTCATTACATCCTCTTAAAATTAGTAGCTGTGTGGCCAGATGGGTCTGGGAGCACAGCTGTGGATACAAGAAAATAAATGAAACCTGTCTGATGCTGCCATGCCCTTTTGAGAGACTGAAAGTGTTGCAACTGCAACAAAGCAAAAATCACGTTCATTTAATATGTTAGAAAATTAGATGTAATTCTTTTTTTAATCAAATCATATAAAATGAGATAAGGTTCAAATTATTGTATAATTCTAATAGGAAGTTCTAGTTACAGCCTATAACAAATGCCCTAAGCAAATTTATACAAACAATTTAAACATTTGTTTAGAAGAATAAAAATCACTTATAAATTAGAGCAACAAGGTAAGTGAGGTAATGTCTTTTATTGGACCAACTTCTGTTGGTGAAGAAGAGCTCTGTGTAAGTTCAAAAGCTTGTCTCTTTCACCAACAGAAGTTGGTCCTATAAAAGATATTACCTCACCCACCTTGTCCCTTTAATATCCTGAGACCAATACCGCTACAACAATACTGCAAATAACTTAAAAATTAAATCGCCATCCCTGTAGAACATAAACCAAAGGGTTCTCATAGAACAAAGATTCATACAGAGCATAAGCCAAATAAGCAGTAATATTTCAAAGTTTATTAGGTGACATTTGTTTGAATTATTGATCCAACATTCTGATCAAATATAAAATGCATTCATGTAAATGCAAATGAAGTGCAAATGCAAATGGAGAAGAATGCCAGATCATGGGCCTGATTTTAAAACGTGGAGCTAGTAAAAATTTTAACTCCTTCAGGTTTGGGGACACAATGAGGTATGGCTATTCTACACTTAAAATGCTACAGCAGTGCAGTGTAGACACTACACTCGTGGGAGGTAATCCATCTTCCTGAGAGGTATTAGCTATGTCGACAGAAGAAGTAGTGTCTACTGGAGGATTCTCTGCGACTTGAAGTCTTTAAATCACGATCTGGAGACTTCAACAGCTGAGTTAAGGGAAAATGGGTGGGTCAGCTTTTGTGGCCTGCATCATGCGGGAGGTCAGACTAGATGACCATAATGGTCCCTTCTGACCTTAAAGTCTATGAGTCTACTCGGGGACTTAAGTCAGATGAACTACACTGCTCAGAGAGTGTGTTTTTTCTGAGTGACATAGTTATACTAACCTAATTTTCTAGTAGACCATGCCCTAATCAGAAGGCTGAGGTCAGTACCCAGGTCTGATAGCTCCTACTATAGTTTCCTTCCCACTGTGGCCCTATCTATGGATCTTTCTTGCTGACAATGTCTATCTGACCCCCTCTCTGGCTGTTTTCAAACCCTGCTGTCAGTCTTTCCTTTTCATATTAGTTACTACACACCTACTTAGCTCCTCTTTTCTCCTCCTATCTGTTTATGTATCTGGATGGGTGGTTTGATGCAAATGATTTATAGATGGACCATTGGACCACATTTTTGATTTATTTTTGGTGGGAGTGGTGAGTATTTGTTTTAACAGAGTTCAGCTGTTTTTATTGAGGGCCCCCTGTACATGATTTAAAAATAAATCACGACAATAGGCAATGAGGTAACATGTAATCACCCTGGTCACCAGTGGAAGTGACAATTTCCATTTATTGTGGCCGTATAACAGTGCAGTATTCAAAGTCATACTCCATATTTCACTGCCTATGAAAATGGTAGTAAACACTGCATAACATAGAAGAGTATGTTGCCCTCTCCAGTGAACTGAAAATATTGTTTTTTCATAGAACATTGTCTTTGGAAGTCAAGCATTTTGTGTTGTATAGAAGTATTGTTATAAGGAGGATAGTCATACTGCAGTTTAATACATTTGGGAGCCTAAGTTAAGTAGCCCTAAGAAAAAGAGGATATGATAACAGACAGCCCTGTGGCATTTACTACAAAAGCATTTCTCGAATTCTGAAGCCTACTATAAATCAAGTTCATTGTAGAGGATTCATTTATTATAATTAAGGCAGCTACAGAAGGATTTTTCTTTGGAGAGAGGGAGTTAAATGCAAATACAAACTCTGGTGCATTATTGAAGTGAAGATCATGGAACGGTTTTGTCCTGCACTGAGGGATTTTGCAGATTGGTACCATGGCAGATTGTTTTCTGCTAGGTTGGGAGGTAGGCGTAGCATTTTTCATTGATATTAACTGTGGTGTGATGCTGTGGACAAAAGAGCTAACGAGGTCCCGGGATGCATAGACAGGAATCTCAACTAGGACCAGAGAGGTTATTTTACCTCTGTATTTGGCACTGGTGCGACCCCTACTGGAATACTGTGTCCAGTTTAGATGCACACAATTCAAGAAGGATGTTGATAAATTGGAGAAGATTCAGAGAAGAGCCACGAGAACGATTAAAGGATTAGAAAACATACTTCTAGTGATAGACTTAAGGAGCTCAATCTGTTTAGCTTACGGAGGAGAAGGTTAAGGGATGACTTGATTACGGTCTGTTGATATCTACATGGGGAATAAATATTTAATAATGGGCTCTTCAGTCTATCAGAGAAAGGTATAACACAATCTAATGGCTGGAAACTGAAGCTAGAGAAATTCAGACTGGCAATATTAAGTGTAACTTTTTTTTAACATTGAGGGTAACTAACCTTTGGGACAACTTACCCAGGGTCATGGGTCACTGACAATTTTTAAAATTGGATGTTTTTCTAAAAGATATGTTCTGCGAATTATTTTGAGGAAGTTCTGTGGTGTGTAGGGTGACCAGACGTCCCGATATTTTGGTGTCTGTCCCGATATCCGCCGGCACTGTGGGTTTTTTGCTCATCCGTCAGGACTCGGCCTTTTTTTTTTTTTTTTTTTCTGCCGGCCCATGTGTCCCAATATTTTCTTCCCCTCATCTGGTCACCCTAGTGGTGTGTGTTATACAGGATGTTTGATTAGATAACCACAATGGTGCCTTCTGGCCTAGGAATCTACATCTCTATGAAAAAAGTGATCATATTTCTAGAAAATGCAAAAATAGCCAAACACAATCCAAATTCATTGCTCAAATTTGCATTGAAACCTACAAATTCTTTTATGAACGTTGTCTGTGTTGATTGCCAAAAAGGATATGTCTGGCCCACCAAAAATGGATCATCTCATCAAGTACAATTTTTCCATAACATGCTGAAATGGTGACAGAAAGAAGTGTTAATTAAAAAGCCACTTGGTTGTGTGAACTATATAGTCTGATGAAAACTTAACTTCTGCAGGCTTGATACAGATGGAAGGTAACATTTGTTCCTGATTTATCTGAAATGATGATACCGTATGTAACATTTTATCGTTTTGAAAAATTTTCTCTCGTTTGTACAGGAAGTTGCCCTTGTCCTTGCAGCTATACTGGTATTTCTGTTGGCTTTCTACGCTTTCTTTTATCTTAATCTATCAAATGAAGTTGACCTTGATCTGGATCCAAATGAAAACTAGCAGATGCAATGTATCTATCCTATCATCAGATTCTCTTCAGGAAAAGCAACTACCTTGAACAACACTGCTTGGGAACACACAGTTCTAATGCATAATAATACTATGCAATATCTCAATCGCTCTTAAAATTCATATCTGCAGAACAGGCAAAGAAGACTCATGCAACGCAAGCTGCTTAAGTTAAAACAAAAGCTGTACTATTATGAATTAAATGAATTGTTTACATTATTTGTTTCTCAGGCTGAGAACTCTGATGCCAAAAGACAGTTTTTTGCATATTGGTGTTGGTATTGAAAAGGGTAGATACTGACTTCTGGGTAGTCTGTCCTAACTTAAATCCATGAATCCAAACTTCCCAATAGTGAAATTAGGTTTCCTTTTTTTAAAATACAAAAGAAAAAACAAATAAAGAGCTAACGAGGTCCCGGGATGCATAGACAGGAATCTCAACTAGGACCAGAGAGGTTATTTTACCTCTGTATTTGGCACTGGTGCGACCCCTACTGGAATACTGTGTCCAGTTTAGATGCACACAATTCAAGAAGGATGTTGATAAATTGGAGATAAACGTTGCTTTACTGATTTGTATTTCCAAATAAACGTTGCTTTACTGATTTGTATTTCCAGGACATCTGCACCACCCTCAGTCTTGCACTCTCTCACTCTTCACAAATGGAGGAAGTCATAGGTAATTTCTCTTTTTAGAAACAGTCTCCCACTTCCTGTAGGGCCTATTTTATATCCTAGATTCTATATGCATATGTATCTACAGTAATCTTTTTTTCATTCCTTGCCAACTGCTCAGTGCACATGTGCTCTGTCAGAAATGGCACCTGGATGACAGAAGCTCGAACATTATTAACATATGCCTCTGAAACAGAGTTCCTTGCCTTTTGGGCTGTGTGAACTGGTATATGTAGAAAGTTCAGTTGATGCTGATTTTAATTAGTATACTGCTCTATTATTGATATAAAGATGAAATTCTATTTTAATTATACTGTTCCTGCTAATTGCAATAGCAACTTGCTTCTCTCATTAGGAGGATGTGGTAAAAAATTGTGTTCCAGTTATACTATCTTTTCCCCATCAAACTAATGTAAGGGGTTGTACCAGCTAACAAATCTTTTTCATGCATACTCCCCAAAACTGGAAGAGTCTTGACTCCCCGAGATCTGTTAGAAACTCTGTTGGCAAATTAACCCTAATTTCTCTTATATAACAGTCTTATAACTAAGGGATAAACCACTGAGTTCCCTTTGTTTAGTAACTATTTTTGGAAGTGTCCAAGTTAGACTTAGATTTGACATGAGGATATTGGAGGCAAAGAGAAACCAAAACATAACTAATAGTGTAGTATATAAGACTATGTTTATTTTAAATTGGCCCACAGCTCCATTATCACCACTTAAAACCTGGTTCAGGAATTTAGATCAATATGGCTAATTTTTAGACCATACAGTATTGATGCCTATATACCCTATGAGTCCCTAAGGATACACTTTTTATTCGGTTTGTGTAATACAGGACACATTTCATCTAGAAATGCAGAATACACCAGCATCTCCAACATATGTATGAAAAGAAAATATTATACTTATTTCTCATTCTCTAAATTGTGACTTTTCAAGTCACCAAATCCCCCAAATCATACATTCTTAGTACTTGTAGTCCAGTAATATTATATATGCCACCGATGTGTAGCAACATATAGCACTCGGAGTGAAGCCTTTTATGACATGTGGCGTTCCTTTCAGTGTAGTGAAAGGCAATCACAAGCTGGCATTTTGGATGTGACATGCCTTTCACTTCACTGAGTGCCATACCACCTGTCTCAAAATGCTGCAGTCCTCTTTCATTTTGCACGAGCAGTTTCCATTTTCCACTAACTCACAGGATGCTGTAAGGATTATGTAGCTAATGTTTGTACAGTGCTTTGTATGAGACATGCAATAGAAGTGCTAAGTATTTTATATTGCCATATATATTGTGTTCTGAAACAGTTAAATGAAAAGAAGAATATTTCTAACTTAAAATAGTAACTTGAAGTTATTAGAACAAGAACATTTCCCATATTGTGTGAGTCACAAGTAAAAACCAAACTGCATCTGTGGATGAATGAAATCTATGTATTGGTTTATGGACCACAAGACCCCTAGACTAGAAAGTATCACAAATCTCCATTATGTTCTCAAGTGCTGCATTTTGCATTTGGCTATTTTTCATTCAGGTGACCGACATAACTAAGTCACATGTAACTAGAGAGTTGCCTATTGCTTAGAACATCTGAGGAGAATCATGCCCAGTGCACATGGGAATATATGGAGAATATTGCAGCAAATACATGGAAAATATTGCACTTGTGCTTTCAGTCCACTAGTTACAGACAGGGGGTTGTTAATAGCAGATTTCCCAGCTTTAGTCAAACTATCCGCATGTTTTATTTTTTAATTTATAAACACAAATGCATTAAACGTAGGGCCTGAGTTGGGTCTTGCTTACACCTCTTTTCACGGACTCCTTTGACTTCAGTGAAATTACTCCTGCTTACTCCTAATTACTCACACTACTGTGAGATCAAAATCTGGCCTGTGATTATGTCTCCCAGTATACCTTTTGGAGCACAGCAGGTATCCATTCCTGATATCTTTAAGTGAAGTTGTTTTTAGCACCTCAAATGCATGCTAGGTGTGCACTCGCTCTCTCTCTCACTCTCTTTCTGTAATGATGATACCTATGTATATATCTGAGATCGGAACCAGTCCCATAATTTTTTAGGTCATTTGTCTTTGTAACCGTAGCTCATGGACTATTTTAATAATAAAATGAATTTTTAAACTTTGTACTTTTTTGAAAGCGCTTATTAAAGTTGGATCTATTGCATTGCTATGAAACGTACATTTGAAAGAACATTAAATTAGCTTAGATAACACAATATACAAGTTTGAGCAGTGCTACCAAAGAATGCACACTGTTTATAAGTTTTGGAGCAAACCAACTGATTCCTGCCCCTGGTTTAAATGTTGAAAATGTAACAAAGAGAGCTTCACTTCTGTTTTAGTCTCTTCAAATACAGTACATTTTACAAATGGAAATGCTCTGTTTTGGTCCTGATCATATTAAACCGATAGAAAATACTGTAATAGTAATTGTATATGGCTTGCTACCACCTTGAACTTGACTCAACTCCATGGGGCAGCTACAAAATGAGGGAGTTCAACTCTGGGGATAGAGCAGGCTCCAGTATTGCTGCAGCCCTCTGCTTATGGAGTGCATCTTTAAACTCCAGCCCAGGCTCCTAGCCAGCAGAAGCTGCTTAGGAGATGCACTGAATCAGAGCAGCTCCAGCTGGTCTAGGCTTGTCTGGCCATGCCCTCTTTTTTGGGCAGTGATGAATGGCTCTAGGTCCTGCAGAAGTATGAGGGTTGCTGCTCTGTTTCACCTCCCCACTTAGGTAGATGTTTTGCCTTTGGAGGGACTGTAGCTGCTAGCAGTGATCCTGAGTAATACAGCTTGGTTCAGTACCTGTTTTTTCTTTGGCAAGTAAAAGCAGAATTTGGAACAATGTCAGGAGTACAACAGAAGCCTAAGAACTCCATAATGGTGGTTACAATGGTACAAATAGTACAGGATGTATGAATTGCCACTTAGTTACTACCTATATTTGTAGTAATCCATGAATGTGTTTTTATTGGAAATGAGGGATGCACTGTAATTATATCTCTAACAAGGGCCTCAGAGATGTATTTAAAATTTCATTGAAGGGTGCTTTATTTAAAGATCACTGAATCTTGTTAACTAGGCACCATGTGATCCTGTGTATATCATAGCCCTATCAACTTACCCAATTAGCTGTAGCAACGATGACATATATAAGGTTATGCATTTACATCTAACTGAGAACATATGAGATAGTTCTTTTGTTTGCTTAGGTTTTCAGGGTAGTCCTCGACTCTGGATAATAATTGACTTGCCCACTTGATCTTAGATTATATTTAAAAATAAATAATTTAAATGATCCTTTCTAATGGGATAGGGCAGAAACTGAACTAAAAGGCCTATACTGGTTCAGTGAAATTTACTACTACTGAAGGGGTTCATCACTTAATTTAGGGCTAGATTATGTATGGTCCATTTGCAAATGAGCAAGAAGCCTCTAGCAATTCCCAATGGGGAAGTACTCCATACTGTTCCAACATGGGCTTGTGCCTATAGGGCACAATAGAGTCCTTATTTTTCAAGGTCAAGTGGAATGTGCTTAAAATCAATTTAGAATCCCAACAAACAGAATAATAAAGATTTTATGGCATTTAGAGTTTTATATAAACTAGCATAATAACCAGTGATTCCTATGACTAAGCAAATAACAATATGGGATTGCAATAAGTCTGCAGAAATATGGTGTTTGGACTGCTTCTGAGCATAGTAGATTATGCTTGCATTTGTAGAAATGAATCCATAAAATGAATAAACTGGCAAAGATTGTGTGTACAACATTGAGTTTGTTGACACCCTGGGAGAGGGGAACAGACTTGCATTTTTTGCAGCACTGTGCTTCTTCCCTTCATCCTACTTACTGCTTACTTTGCCTTAGCACACCAGGCTATATGTTTAGTACATATTTCCAAGAACAGAAAAGGATTTTTATACAGTATGTCAATGCATTTAATTGACAGCATCCTCTCCTTTTTTTTTTTTTAATGACAACCAAATTGGTGAAGAGACAGCCAAAATGTTAGGTACCAGTGTCTCTCAAACAGATGTCACGCCATTATTTTTTAGCTCGTTTAGATGAATAAACATGTTAAACTGTGAAGTATTACATTTTAGATTTTTTCATTAAAAATAAGGACAATCTGTTTACTGTCCCTAATTGAGACAACAATCTTGGTGGTTGCCAATTTTGACAGTTGTAACAATGAACTATAGATGTTGGGACCAATCAAATAACTGGTGATAGTGAAGGATAGTTCATGTGAAAGGCTCCTTTTTAATGGACACTTGTTTCATGGATGTATTTTTTCTAACTTCTGGAAATATAATCATGTTATATCGGTTTTGCATGATAAGCCCTCAGCAAAAAATCATTCGAGCAATAGATTTGTTTCTATGTCTTTTTATTAAATCACTCAAAATATGAATTACAGTTCATAGATGGGCCCAAGTGACAAAATCCATATTTTACTCCAAACACTCACAAAGGAATGTTTGTTCAGAACCATTATAGAGATCGGCCAAGCATGGGCTTTGGATCTGCTGAAGTTTGGGAAAATTTTAGAGGGGAGCTTGGATCTGGACGAGGTTTGACAATCTCTGATAGAATGTAGGGATTTTAGAGCATAGAGGCATGAGGAGCGAGGACAATAGAAAATGTGATGATTGGCTGATGTAACCCTGGTGTG